CAGGTGATTTGGAAAGTCGTAGTTGTTAGATTTTCAGAAGAAAGCTGTTCTATTCTTTTGGGAGAAGGGGGGGCAGTGGGTAGGATGCATTTTGAAAAGAAAAAGATATTCAGAAGCCCCTAAACCTCCCTGAAAATCCTGACTCCAGATTTTGATTTGGCAGAGGGCAAGTTTCCCCGCCTCCCCGAAAAGCTATCAGCTGCAGACAGCAACCCAGATGTGCAAATATTAACAGTACACCCAGCTTTGCTGCCGCTGGATCCGGGTATGCAAGAAAATCAGAATCACACCAAGCTCTTGATCTATTTTAACTGTACACTCAGACCCTGGTTCTCCAACACCTCTCCAAGCATCTCCAGGGAGTGTACCCTGCTTTCACCCCAACATTTCTGAATTTCAGCATCAAAGAAAGGAGAAGCTCTTGAAAGAAAGGTTTAAAGCAAACCCTGCGAACAGCACCTTGCATGTACTTACCCTGGGCTTTTCAGTTTTCCTTTTGTGTGCTTTTTCAAGGCTCAGAAACTCACATTCTGCTTTCAAACACAAATCCCACAGACTACGATTTCAAGATGACTGCTTCAGGAAAAGGGGGAGGAGAGTCCTACCGGGCTGTTTTTCATGGCTGACCGAGCAGGAATCTCCTGCCGTAGAGATGAAGGCCTCCTCAGAGAATATCTCTCCAGGTAGACAGCAGGTAATTGATCCCGCTCATGTGAACAACATCTTGTCATTTTTCAAACACTCGGAGGAAAGAAGGTTAATATCTTTGGTGCCAGGAGTCTGGAAAATACACAAAATCCCTACCACGGCGGGGTACGAAGAGCAGCTCTCGCCCTCGTACATCCAGCTGGCAAAACACTGAAATAAGAGACCTAGACCAGATGCAGTGGTGCATATCTGGTGCACAAGTAAGCATCCTCTGCATTTGTTGCTGTATTTCAGCAAAAAAACAAAAACAAACAAAAAAAAAAAACAAAAAAAAAGAAAAGGGGGGTCTTTGCAACCTCCTGAACTGACGCAGAATCATTCAAGTGGCCTCCAGTTGTGTTCGGGGCTGCAACGCATCTTGAAGGAAACTGTCAGTCCATCGCAAAGCCAAAAAATTCACACCTTCAAAAACAGCAAGGGCCAAGCTAGCTACGGGGCCAAAGCTCACCCCATCCCTACGAAAACGAGGGCACTAAACGCCGCCTTGCTCTTCCTTCTTGATGAAAGAGTTGCAGAGCCCTTCCCTCCAACAAAGCAGGTATTTCAATGAGAAAGGACACGGTCCCATCAAAGGTAGGTCAAGTCTTTGGCACAAACCACCCAACGGTGCCTTAGATCAGGCAGCAGATGTAGCATACAAAATTAACCATGTTTGCTCGAAGCCTGCGCTCACAGGTGAACCAAAGGGACCCAAGCAGACGGGTAACAGAGCACAGCGAGGCAGCTAAATAGGACTTAAAAGCTTTTGAAGCTGCAAACACTGGAATGAACTGGGGCATGAAATTAATTTTAACTGTACTGAATAGGAGACAGGCCATAAAACTCCATGAAAATAAGAGACCGGTAACATTTTAGTAAGAGCAGAAATTCCCCCCGTAACTCCCCAGCCAGCTCTATTAGCATAAGTGACTCATCCCAACTGAAAAGCAAAGCCAACAAGCAGGAAGAATTAGACTACTGTTGCAAGGTGGAGAGTATCGCTGTAGAGAAATCGAGGAATCCTGGCTTTGTCATATTCAAATGCCTTCCCACTGACACTTGCAAACATTCAACTGAGAAAAAAAATCCACTCTAGGAAATGTTTAAAAAAAAAAAATAAAGAAAGAAGGTATTTGTGACCGGTAACAGCCTGGCCATCTCCTGTCTACAGCAACCTGTCAAAAGGCTTTTTCATCACGGCTAAATCTGCACAGGGCGAAGTTGTTCTGAAGAATCTGCATCCAGTTACACCTTGGCAAAATATAACCTGCGGTGTGCTGGCAGTTGTCCTCCTGGTGCTCTAACGCACCTGGCTGATGTCTCCCAGCACCCTGAGGATTTTACTCCATCTCCTACCGAAACAGCCACCTCCAGGCTCGGAGCAGAAGCTGCGGTTCTAGAGCAGAAAGGCACAAACATACTAAGAACAAGGAAAGAACAAAAAATATCTTCAAATGCAGCCTGTGGAGAAGTTGTAGGTAGGATTTGAACATCCAAGTATGACTTGGTCAAAATAGAGAAGTTTAATTCCTCTTCCTCTTGGTCAAAGGACTCTGCATTATTTCCTTGGAAGAATCACTGAAATCTTGATTTTGTATCTGCCTCCCAAGCATCCAGATGTCCTTTAACGTGCATCAGGGCCACAAGAGATGGGAGAACAGGACACACCGATTTCTTTGCACATCCATCAACAAGTAGCAAAGTGCAGTTCAGACCCCAGGACCTCTGAGACAGTCCCATCGTCAAAAGCAGCAAACATCTGGAGCCCAGATCGCTCAAGGGCCTTTCGCTGACCTAGATCCGTAAATGCGCTCGGCTGGCATCAGTAACAGCTGAAGGCAGCTAATTGCAAGGTTTTTGGAAGGAGGAGACGGAGGCTTTTCATTAAAACGTGTGGTTTCCTTCCTATATTTTTTCAGCATTAATCACAGTGAACATTAACCCCAAGCCTGCATGCTCCAACCTCTCCTTGGTCTGTCACCACCACCGCTACAGCCGCACGGGAGGACTGCCCGCTGCCCGGGGCTGGGATAACCCTACGGATGCCTATAAAGGAAGGGACGGAGAGGAGCGCCCGCTCCGACGGCACGGGAAGCTGGTTTGATGGGGCTTCACCTCTCATTACCGGTTTCACTCCTGACCTGCGCAGTCAGTTCCCTCTTGTTTGCGCCCGTCTTTCAAGCAGCAACCAAGGACAGGAAATCGTTTAAATCACAGGAAAATGTGATCACAAACCCACAAATATTGGCAGGGGAACGGAGAGTGGGTGAAGTAGCTGGATCTACTTTTAACTCCTTCTGTCAAGGAGAAAACTAGTAACCAGCTTCTAATTGCCACCCTCAGTGCCCGGCTTGTGATGGCTGTGGAGAGAAGAGGGGCGTCAGGGGACTCCAAGAGATAGCGACTGCCACGCGCCATCAGTGCCAGGGGTGAGTCACAGCCAACAACGCAGACAGCACGTCCTTGGGTCAGCACCTGATGCTGTACAAGGGGGTTCATCAGCCACCACGCCCTGAACTGACACCAAAACAGACTTCCAAAAGCAGGGGGCTATGAGTCCACAAGGAGCACAGACCCTCTGCCAGGCATCACCGCCTCTCCCCAGAGTATAATCTTCACCTGCATCATTAGTCCTGCATTCAATCAGTGAACTGGAGGGGGTGGCTCTAGTTTTGTTTGCTTTTTTACATCTTTGCAGCTAGAAAAGCGCACCTGAGAGATGTGGGCTGGGGGAGGCGGTGAGCGTGGAGGGCACACGTCTGCCCGCTCACAGCTGCCTGCCAAGGCAGCGTGTCTGCCGAGGACAACAGCCAGAGGGCTGAAATGATAGGAGACCCAGGCCAAAGCACACGCGTGTCAAAATCCTGGGGGGTCCTCGCCCGAGTCTTGTAGCAACGTCTGCCAAGCTCAAACGACCAGGGGTAAATGCATCCCCAACACAAGGCACAAAGGAAACATACGGAAACAAAAAGCTATTGGGATTTCTCAGCTGCAGCGGAAACATACAGAAGCAAAAAGCTATTGGGATTTCTCAGCTGCAGGAAAAACAATCACTTCCCACGGACTTCTCCATCTGCCTGCCCTTGCCACCCACCCCCACGGGATGATGCTCCCCTGCCCCAAAAGTGCACGGTAGAGCAGCACCCTGGGTTTATCACAGCCCCCAGGTCAACGCCGAGTTCCCGAACACGGCATTTAGGGTGCCGGTGTCCAGTGAGGGCAGCGAGGCTGCTCAGGGACCCACCGAGCCCTGTGGGAACCGAAGGGCTTGGGGTGACTCTGGGGCTTGAATGTTTTACAGTGAGTGCATCACCTGGATGACACAGGAAGCCTTGGGTGGAGCAGGAACCCAGCGGGGCCAGGCAGCGAGCGGTGGGGTCACATCACCAAACCCTCCTCCTCCTCGCAGCCCTCAGGCACAGAGAGCACCTAAACACCGCCAGCACCTACCACACGGCACAGCAGAACAGCAGA